TCATGTATCTCCTACCAATAATTAGTTTCCAACCACAAGTAAAATAAATCTTGATTTTCAAAGCACAAGACTAAGCTAGGTTTTGTAAATATTGAAAAAGGGAAGAAAAACATAAGAATTTTTATATTTTAAAAAAATTTTAAAAAATAAATAAATAGTCCAGTCCTTAGACTGAGTCATCAGGTCAATTTTAAACTGCGATTATAAGAAAGTGGATAGTTAAAGAGAATTTGTTTATGAGATGAGCCATGTCACCCACACCATGAGACCAAATAGTATTAAGTAGTATACTGAGTAGTAAGCATTTAGAACAAACTGACCATCCAACACATCCTACTAAACTCAGTAGTCATGGTAGCAAGTCAAGTGCAGTACAGGCTATCCGAATGGAGCTAAGTAGCAGCAGCAGCTGCAATAATTGAGAGAACAGTACATAGGTGACCGTCTCTCAATACATGAAGAGCTAAAATATCAACAACGAAATGCAACTACACATGAACTCTTTACAGGAGGAGAACAAATAATGATGAAAGCTCTGACAATTTTAAGAAAAAAGCCAACAAAAATACGGCAGATTTCCGTGTAATATTGAGTTTGTTTTTTTTTTTTTTTTTTTTTTTTAAAAAACAAGACACTTTTCAATCGGAAAGTAATATCTCAAGAAGTCAAAAACAGAAGAGTATAAAAAACTGATTGGATATTATTAACGTCTACTGCATTAACAAAGTTTTATTATATCGACTTCACTCTGTCATGCCAGATAATTTTTCTCATCAAAATCTATCTTACACATTTATAAATCTAGCATTCATCCGTGCATTGAATATTGCTCCCATATCTGGTCTGGTACTCTTGCTATATATCTCTAAATTCTTAACAAAATCCAAAGAAGGATCTATAACATTATGTGTCATGACCTGACATCTCGACTTCAGTCACATTCCCACCACCATAATGTAGCTTCCTTATGCCTTTCCTATAAATATTTTCATGGTGAAAGTTTGTTTTTTTTATGAGTTTTCCTCACAGGTACCTTTAACTGTATAACATTGAGCATAGTACTAGATTGGCAATTAGGTCTCATTGTTTTACTGTTGAAATAAATAGATGTAAGCAGCATAAGTCCTAATGTAATAGTTTCTTTTCTTGCAAATCTCACCTGTTAGAACTTTCCAGTTTCTTGCTTCCCTGCCAACTACAATCTTCAAAAATTTAAATGCAATGTCAATCGCATCTTCTGTTTCTGAATTCTGTTCTTTTGTCCTTTTCATTAAATTTTTCTAATTATTTTTCACCAGTAACCACTTGCATCTTTGTAGGATTATTTCCTTGCTTGGGGTGAAATGATAAAAAAAAAAAAAAATTTACAGACAAAAAAAAGTTAACTTTTTTAAGGTTTCATCAACAAACATTAGTTAATTTCAAAAATATGAATGACTGTTTGTTTTCGGTATTGTCTTATAAATGTTACATTTAATTTTTCCAAATACAGTGTCACCCGGATATAAGGGATTTGTCGGGACCGGAGAAGAAGTCTCTTATATCCGGGTTTCTCTTATATCCGGGTTTGGTCTATTATATATACATTAACACAGGCTCTAATTTGGGACCAGAGAAAATCTCTCTTATATCCGGGTTTCTCTTATATCCGGGTTTGGTCTATTTTATATACATTAACACAGGCTCTAATTTGGGACCAGAGAAAATCTCTTATATCCGGGTTTCTCTTATATTTGGTCTATTTTATATACATTAACACAGGCTCTAATTTGGGACCAGAGAAAATCTCTCTTATATCCGGGTTTCTCTTATATCCGGGTCACACTGTATAAGAATTATAGAACAGAAGCAATATTAGTTTATTTTTAAATCAATTCTTTCAATAATCTTCACCCATTATTATTATTTTCTTTCCCAATCGAGTAATGTAATAGATGACTCATGCAACCACGAACAAGGCTGAATTGAATGATTGATTCGTTTGTTTTGCAGGTTATTTAAAGCCAGGACATATTTTTAGATGGTAAGAACTTTTATTGGAGATAATGATTTTACTGATACAAGTTTTACTATGATAAAAAAAAGGTGGATTCATACCTTTCCCAAGGATATTTGTACATAAGAATAGAAGAAAGTCAAGCTTTCCAGGTCTTATTCACTGAGCACACTTCAGGGAAAAGACGAGGGGGTTGCCCTCTTCGAAGATACAAGTACCAACTCGAACAACTCTGAAAGCCACTGGACTTGAGCCTAAATTGTTTGAAACACAAGCCCAGGACCATAAGCAACTAGCAATGTTCTATCGGCATTGTAACCAAAAACTTTGAAGGCACCAGAAGAGAAAATGAAGAAGTCAAATGACAAGAGAGAAAGGCTTGACAAAATTGACCTCATCCCCCCCCAACATTACTATGCAGTCAGCGGCATCAGCTCTTCAATGCAAGAATTGGTCTACTTAGTCATCAATGCCATCATTAAGAAAGCAATTAGAAAAGAAAAAAAATTAAATTCTTGGATATGTAATAAAGCCGACAATGTGTGTGTGTGTGTGGGATCCTGACAAATTCTCAACCCAACCCACTTCCCAAAATCAGTTTTCTCTGATCATCAAAATATCAATTTTAAGAAGTGGGTTGAGTAAAGAAATTCTAACACACCCTTGTGTACATTATAGCTTTATTCAAAAACTAAGTAAAAAAAAATATGAATTTGGCTTTTGCGATCATCAGACAAACTGATCGCAAAAGTGTGAAACCCAGGGTCACAAACTTGTATCCATGCAAAGATATTTGTGTATATATATATTTGTTTTTTGTGAGTGCCTGTGTCTATTTAGGCAGTATATTTTCATTCAAACAGGTTTGGTTAAATAATTTAGACATTATGTCTATTTTGGATTTGATCCTTTCAATCTCATGAATTAATTTCTTAGTAGCTGTGGAAATTTGATTAAGAAAAATACCAAAATTTTCTTTCAAATAATTTTTACTTTCCCAAATATTTTCAATCTCACGTGAAAACATCTTTGAAGTTTAAACTGTCTGTGAACGTGTTTATGTATTTCTGTAAATTCAAAACATTTTTAATTGTTTTATTGCATTATGCAGTGTTCTAGATTTCAAATGTTTTTTTTCCCCACCACCCCAACAGTGTAAGGGAGGTAACCTTTTTTTTTATTTTATTTACTTATATCATTATTATCCTTGATTATCCTTATATATATATATATATATATATATATATATATATATATATATATATATATATATATAAAAAACCCACTTGAAATCTAGAACACTGCATAATACAGTGAAACAATTGAAATTATTTTGAATTTACAGAAATACATAAACAGATTCACAGACAGTTTAAACCTCAAAGATGTTTTCAAGTGAGATTGAAAATACTAGGGAAAATAATCATTTGAAAGAAAATTTTGGTATTTTTCTTAATTTTCCACAGCTACTAAAAAAATTAATCCATGAGCTTAAAACGATCAAATCCAAAATAGACATATGTCTAAATTACTGACCAAACCTGTTTATTTATATATTATCAGTCCTTTCACTGCTTCAATCATTGGTATATTGGTGGTGGCTTTCGGGAGTTCTGGCATTCTCATGTCCACCCACTATTTGATGATGTCTGATCAGCATTTGTGTTGCCATCCCCAACTTCAACAGTGTCTTGCATGATGATTTTATAGAAGCTGTTATGCCGTGTGACATTGCCAAACCATGATATCTTCCAACATTTAATGCTGTTGGCCCACAAATACATTTGACCTTGCTCTGTACATAGTCACTGGTTTAGTTCTCCCAGTACAAGATGTGGAGAAGGTTCCTCAAGCATTTGTTCTCGAACTCTTGAATCCTTTCCACCTCAACCAGAAGATCCCAAGTCACACACCTATTGAGTGGGGTAGATATGACCAGCAATTTGTAGCACTTGAACTTGGTCTGGAAGTTGATGTTGTTCTTCCATATCCTTTCCAGTATGGTCATCACTGCTATGGCTAGGGTGATCCATGTACAAATTTCTATGTTGCAGTTGCCATCTTTTGACAGGGTTGCTCCCAAGTATTTTGAAGCTGGACATTTCTTCCAATGGTTTACCATCCATGGTGATGCTGACACTGATGTTGCTTATGTTATTCATCATTACTTTGGATTTCTCTGTGGTCATACAGGGCCTGGATGACTTGTACAAGCCCTTTTTCTATGTTGAATCCTCTGAGGATGTTGCAGAAGTCGTCATGCCATATCTGATCAAATGCTTTTTTGTAATCAATGAAATTATGGAACAGGTTCATCCAGTTTTGCAGATGTTTCTTGATGAGGATGCTACAGTTGAAGATTTGTTCCGCTGTGCTCCATCCAGACTCGTCTCTTATAATAGTTCTTCAAACTTGAATTTCATAACATTGAAGATAATATTGTTCCTAATTACCATCAATGACATTCCTGATGCCATCAGTTCTCAACTTTGTATTTATGCTGATGGTAGCTACTTACTCCTGTCTTAATATTAAATCTGATCAGTTTGATTTGGTCAAATTGGCAGCTGATCTCAAAAATGACCTACAACCTGTTGTGAACTGGGGTAAAGAATAATTTGTTAATTTTAATGTCTCCAAAATAAAACTGCTCTCTTTTAATCGTCTGAAAGAACTCCTTTTGCCTTTGATCAATATGGCTGATGCTAACCTCCAGGAGAGCGACTCATTGTGCCTTGATTTGTTTTATACAGTTTATCAACTCTTTGCAGATTATTTAAAGCCAGGAAATATTTTTTTCAATAAGATTTTTTTTGAGATAATAATGGTTTAATAATAGAAATCTTACTAATTAACCCATAGTTCTAGGGAGAATAGGTGGATTCATACCTTTCCCAATGGTATTTGCATTTAAGTGAATATAACTAGTTCGATGGGATTTGGAACTCAGCTCTCTGATTAACAATTCTGAGCCATTATCCATTACACCACCTGCACATCTAAGATTACAGCAACTGGTATTCCCAAGCAGTAACCAATCTAGGTACTGACTAGGCTCGACATTGCTTAACATCGATGATCATATGGAAACCAGTGTTTCAACATGATGTGATTGTAAGCTATTAATGATCCTGACCTGGCATCTCAGTTTCAGTCACTTTCCCACCACTGTAACATAGCTTCCCTGTGCCTTTTCTATAAATATTTTAAAGGCAATTTAAGCACAGTTCTAGATTTGCACCAAGGCTTCATCATTTTACAGTTGAAATGGCTAAATGTAACTGTAAGTTCTATGCTAACAGTTTCTTCTCTCACACTTGTCACTCATCCGGCTTATTGCTTCCCAGTCAACTTTGATCTTTCAAAAATTTAAATTATCTTCCGTCTTCTTAATTTTTGTTCTTTTACTGTTCTCTTTACTTTTTCTTTTTTCTCTGAGTGTCTCACTCAGTAACCCCTTGCATCTTAGTGGCATTATTGCTTTCCATGTGGTTCTCAACATTGTTTAACTTTGGTGATCATACAGAAACAGGTTCGTCAACATGATGTCGCTATAGCTATTAATGGTCCTGACCTGGCATCTCAGCTTCAGTCACTTTCCCATTGTCTTAACATAGCTTGACTCTGCATTTTTTTTATAAATATTTTCATGGTAATTGTTCTGATGAACTTTACTCTATTACTACCAAGATGTTATGAATTTAAGTGCCAAGGCTTCATCATTTTACAGTTGAAATGACAAGATGTAACTAAGTTCTATGCTAACAGTTTCTTCCGACATTTCTCACTTGTCGGACACAAATCCGGCTTGCTTCCCAGTCAACTTTGAATTTTCAAAACCTTAAATAGAATATCAAACATTATCTTCTGTCTTCTTAATTCCTGTTCTTTTACTGTTCTCTCTAATTTTTTTTGTTTTTTTTTTCTATTCTCTCACACTCAATAACCTTTGCATCTTAATGGCATTATTGCCTTCCTTGAGGTGAAAAATGTTAAGAAAATGTAAGAAATGATATTGAATACTATTTTATAGTCATATATATTCACACAGTGGAGTAATGGATAGCGGTTCAGATTGATGAATCAGAGAGCCGAGTTCAAATTCCATTCGAATCCATTACATTCACTTACATGCTAATACCTTTGGGAAACACATCTTCTCCCCCCGGCTATGGGTAAATAGCAAGACAGACCAGGTTCTATAGCCTTGGATGTCAACTGGTCTACTGCAGAAAGAAATGCCCACCTACTATGGGAAAAAAATCTGCCTCGTCAGTCATGTAACGAAAGATACATGATCGCCTAAGCATGCATCACACATGGCACATAACCGACTGATATATTCAACAAAACGGCCATAAAAGATACATCAAAACAAACAATTTCAAATTAATATTTAATCTCTGTATTAAATTTGAATTACTTTGTCTTTTTTTTTCTCAATTTTAGAATAAGCAATAATCTCTAGCTAGTTTTTTTTTCCTATTTACATAGCAACTAATTATAAAAAAAAAAAAAAAAAAAAAAAAAAAAAAAAATAGTGGAACATGTCATGATTAGCAGAATAACAAAATTAAACAATTATGACAATGGCTAATTTCTTTTTTAGTCATAATAGGATGAAAAGTCTGATGACACTTGCTAGCCTGTCCAGACAAGATACTTATCCTAAAGTAGAAATTTAATGTTTTTTAAAGAATATACTCACATATACACCACAGCAAACAGCTTTCATTCTTTTCATGTTGACAAAGCACCAAACAGAAACTTGTTATATTTCAAAATGAGTTCACAGGCCAAAAAACAAAAGATAAAAAAAAAACAAATCTTACCAAATTATGGCAGATGGTCGAGAACAAAATGTAGTCAAATAACATTAGAACAGTCAGAGTCCTCTAACAGTATCATTAATATTTAACCGATATGTAAACATTAAAAATAAATAAATAACATCCTCACTAAGTAATGATAAATAAATCAAAAATCTGGTAGAAATTGGCAACCAGCATAGAAGATATCAAAAAGAACTCTTAAGAGAATATTTTATATCTGCAAAGCACAAAAATGAGAAATGCAAAGTTATCTATTAAATGACATTAAAAAGCAGATATTTTTTCTATTTTAACAGATTTTCATTGGAGTTACTTTATATTTATTACAAACACAACAATCTTAGTTAGCACAACTGTTATACCCTACCAATACCTTATAAATAATGAGCTATTCTGAGTGTCTATATTTCTGAGATGAGGTATTATATACATTATTTACATTATTCGGACTATTGTCCTCATCTTCGTCGCCATATTTATCACAACGTTTCTGCCGTTGTACGCTCCGGCCTTCTTCAGGTGGTTGGAATGTCGAACTGAACCCTTTATTTCACTCACTGGGATAGACTGTTCTAGTTCCACGTGCCATGTTTGATGGATGTCAGTTATCTCCTGCTAATTTCCTGCCTGAAAGTTCTCCACTGCCTATCTCCACAATTCAATGTCAATTTCATTTGTACCCCCTTACTTCTTAAAATAAGGACTAGCATTCATATTTATGATCATTATTGCAATATTTTGTCAAAGCTCCACTATTTAACAATGTAATAGGTGAATTTATACAGATATTTTATTGTCTTAGAACAAAACAAAAACAAATCCAAGTTTACTATAACCTTTTATTGGTTAACTACAGTGTTCCCAGCAAAAAGTGGTTAATTCAGAAAGAAATTTATTTAGCTATCAGGATTCATGCATCACATTTGCAGCTCGAGACCTGGTATTATCGTGCAGCCAAATCACTTAACTTTCTTTCTCGGAAACAAAAGTCTCTGCTTTTAGGTTCCAGCAATTTGTCAAAGGAGGATACACTGGTGGGGCAATGGATAGTGGCTCAGAATGAGAAATCAGAGCAGAGTTCAAATTCCAGTCAAGTCAGTTACATATGCATAAATACTTTTGGGAACAGTATGAATCCATTTCTTCTTTCCCCAGCTATAGATTAAATAGGATTTTTTTTTTTAAAGAATTTTATTTTACAAGCATCCCCCCCAACATTTACAGTCCTTTTTTTAATTTTTTTCTAAGAAACTAGATCCAAGTTTTGATTTCATCAAATAATAAATGAAATTTTGGCTGTTTTTATACAAATAGAACATTTACTGAACATAAGATGTTTTTTTTTATCTGCTTCAAGTAATACTGGCATAAGATGAATGTCAATTGGTTTCTGGTTCTTTGGGTTTTAGAAAAACGTTATTTGAATTTTGATTAAAATGTTTTGTCTTTTGGTCCTTTTTTTTTTTCCTAGTAGTTTTTTTTTTTTTTTTGTGAGTGAATGTCTCAGAAGTAAATTAGGTCCATCATGATTTTCTAGAAGCATTTTAGATTTAAATTAAGCCATGAAATTAAAAATATCCCAGCTTCACATGTCTTTGAATAACTTTATTCTGGAGTTGTACGCTTGACTGACTACAGTTTTGTATGTAGAATTTGTCTTGTCACGATACACAAAATTCATTTTTTGTCCAGTCTCATTTCGTTTTAACGTTCCTTGTGCAAAAACTTTTCTTTTATTGATCATTTATCTTTCTAAGGCTTTTTAGCTTAAGATGATTTGATTATACCACCTTTTTTTTAAAGTTACCCTCAGTACACACAAATGTGTGTATATGAAAACATGAATAAAAACAAAAGGAAAAGCTAAACGCATTTCGTCATCTAATGGACTTTATCAAGTCAAATATAAAGATTTTATTTTGCAACAAGTATTTATAAATAAAAATAAAAATGTTATTAGTTTTTCAAAATGTTTAAATTCAAGAGATGCTCATAAATGCCCCTTTCCCAAGCCAACATACACGACTATAAAAATGTTAAAAAGTGAAAGAAAATGGTTAAATTCATAACCTGATGTTATATATATTATACACACACACACAATTTACATTATTCAGACTATAGTCCGAATCTTTGATGCCATATTTATTATGTTTCAGCCATTGTACGCTCCGGCCTTCTTCAGGTGGTTGGAATGTCAAACTGAACCCTTTATTTCTTCACTGGGTAGACTGTTCTAATGTTTAATGGATGTCAGTTATCTCTGTTAATTCCCCTCTCCAAGTTCTCCACTGCCTTAACTGGGTATTGAACCCACACTCTTTGGGTACTCAAGGACACATGGCACAGTGGATAAAAGCGTTAGTTAGATCCAGTGACATTACCCAAAGAGTGTGAGTTCAATACCTGGTTAAGGCAGTGGAGAACTTGGAGAGGGGAATTAACAGGAGATAACTGACATCCATTAAACATGGAACTAGAACAGTCTACCCCAGTGAGCAAAATAAAGGGTTCAGTTTGACATTCCAACCACCTGAAGAAGGATGAAGTGTACAATGGCCGAAACATAATAAATATGGCTACAAATAGGAGGACAATAGTCCGAATAATGTAAATAATACATCATCTCAGGAATATATATATATATTATATTAATCCTATACTAAAATTAATTTAAATATTATTTGCATTAAAAATAAAAGATTCAACATTTACTCACTTTCATCCATTAGACATCATATTACATCACTTAGCATCCTCCATAATTTATTTACCTTGACATTTCAGTTGATCTGATGATTATTTATGAGCATCTCTTAAATTTTAAAGTTTTGAAAAACTAACATTTTTCCTTTTGTTTATAAATACAAGCTGAAAAATAAAATCTTTACATTTGTTTTGATAAAATCCATCAGAAGATGAAATGCATTGGCTAACTTATAATGAAACTTTTTATGATGGAATACACAGTTGAAACGTGTCATTATGGTCATAGAAAAAAGGGAAAATACATTTCTAAATGAATAATGATGCTATGAATTTATAGATATTTTGTCAAAAAATTGCTAGAAACTAACTTAATACTTTAATGATTAGATCATGACAGAATAAATCCAAGGTGTAGAATACAATAATCAAGAAGATTATCTTTTCACACAAACTGAATTTAAACCAAGTATACAAAATCCAGGTTTTAGTTTTCCTTACTGTTACCCACTGACTTTACAACTACTCTAGAAATGTTAATGTCAAAAGTGATTTCCTTAATGTCATGTACTTTC